GATATATGTAGCTGAAAAGGGCATCCGTTTTCGGGGACCAATAAATAAATAAAGAGAAAGGGATCGTGTCGAGCTACTAGCGGTGAACTATCTACTGAACTTGCTTGCCGTAGTTAACCCGGTTGCAGATATGCCAACATGTATGTATCCACGGTCGCAAGCCAAGTAACCTCCTCACTCGCGTGTCGGGGCGGCGCGCGAGCGCATTAGCCAACCTGCGGTGCGGCCGCCCAGCGCACCGCCGGCGCCGCCGGAGCGCGCGCGGGCCGCGGGAATGATGCCGCGCGCGCCTGGCTCTGGAACTCGCGAACGATCGAGCGCGCGAGTTTGCCGGGTTCTGCACCGTACCCACCGTGCCGGCCGGTGATATGCTCGGGCCCGGCGAGCCGTACGTCGACGTCCGTGCCCCCGACGGTTCGGTGGCGCGCCACCGCCCCCCACTTGGGAATCAACGCGTCTGGCATGCATGCATGGTTGCCGCTAGCTAGCATCCATCGACGCATGACACTAACTATTGCGACCACGTACGAGCCCACGACGTGCGCCGTCGTAGATATTTTCTCTCCCTGCTGCTGCTTCGGGAGTCCGGACTACCAATCGATCGATCCATGCATGGTATGCAGTGGCATGAAACACGCTGAAATGGCCGGGAAGCAATGATCAGAGAAGGCCAGGCCAGGCCGCCCCATTACACACAAACTCAACTCAGCTCTGCTCTGCTCTTTCGAGTAGTCACCTCGTCGGCCATCGCCGCGAGTTTTACTGACACGACGCCGCTTGGCTAGTGGGATTCAGCACCTGGATATGGCTGGAACGATTATTCAGTGTATATCATAGCGGCTCCATGTGGAAGCCGGACCCCAGTTCGTCCTCTCATCGAGTACAGGGTATTAGCATTGACTTGTGCTGCTGGATCGATCGCTGCCATCACAGTGTATGATGTTCCGAGATCGGAGATGGGTCCAAGGTCATTACAAGAGCAGTGCACCTGAAAGCTCAGTTGCTTAATTAGCTGCGTTGCTTTGAGTCACTGAATATAAAGAGTGTACCAGCTGGAAGCTCAGTGTTGCTTAGTTTGCATTGACTGACTTCTGCCGTGTGTTGTGTTCAGATGACACATGTTGTTCAGTTCTCACGCGCGTACACTGAATTACTGAAGTATACAAACCTGACACCGTACCTTCTCATGATTAAGTTAGTTAGCCGTGTCGCTCGGATAAGAAAAGTGATCAAAGGGTAATTAGAGTGTGGGTGCGTCCGGGTCTGCAAAGCAAAGCAAAGCAAAGCAGTAGGCCTCGGGATCAGTGCGCGTGAGAAATCGTCTCGAGGATGCACGGTCATTAGTAGCGACTGGAGACTGGTCGATCAAGAAAAAGCTTTCCCTTTTGGCATCGCCCAGCAGTAGTTATGAGCAGAAAAAGCCACAAGAACGACGCACGACAGCAGGCGAATAGTCCTGCACTGCTGACCTGATCCTAGGGGTGCCAGTGCCAATATGGGCCTCCACCGATCCTCTTTCGTTCGATTATTATTCCTAGTTTTCTAGAATATGGTTATTACAATTAGGAAAAAACAAACTAGTACTAATAATTTGTACTCTGGTGTGAAGAGTGGTGATCTCTGAATACGTACATCTTTCAGTTTTCAAAACAAACTACTACATCTCTAATTTTTCTGCTAACTCAAACAACAAGTATTGTGAATCAGAGGTACTAGTGGCTAGCTATAAGTATATGAGCACAAGTACAATTTGTAATGCATATTTTTGGGGGGAAAGGTGGAGTTGTGTTGCACAAGAATTTGACCAGTAATCAGTACAAAAACTGAGTAATGTATTGTTTCTAGTAATCATCCTTAATCATGCCATTCTATTCTATGTACATTATTTGCGCTCGTGCCTTTTTGTTCCTTTACATGTCCATTATACCGGTGGTTATAGTTGGATTCTGGTGTATAAAGCTAGCTATTACTAATGGAGTGCACATGCAGTAAATTTCAAAAGCATCTACAGCGATATATTATGAGCGGTTAAGACTGCAACAGTTATTCTTAAGGAGTCAGTGCTTTGATCTCATCATGATTGTCTGAAAGTGTACTCCTATTTTTATTATCAGAGATAAACAACAATGACAGCACACGCAAGTGCAGCTATGCAAGGCCAATCCCATATAGATGGAATAGTTGAACATTTGCCCAAAAGAACAAAAAAGTAATTTAAGATAAACCAGGGGTCCCCAATGGACCAGCTTCCCTGCAATACTTGGCCCAGCAGGCGGCGCAGCGACAGCGCGCGTCTGGGCTGGCCCAGATACACAATGATAGGCCGAGACCACGATCTAGTCCCCGGCCGGCACCTCCGGCCAGGAGATCTGGTAGGAGCCCCGACCAAAAGGCCTGGCCATGGTGGGACCGCAGTTCGACTCCGACCCTGTTCCTCCGACCGACGATATGCCGGACCTTTGCTCGCCTCTCTTTCTCGTCCGACACGGTCGGGGCCGATTGGGAACGACCGACCAGGACGCCTGCCCGGTGTGGGCCCGGGGAGCAAGCGGAGCAGATAAGGTAAGGCGCTCAAGTCAACCGCAACATCGAGGACCGTACCCTGCCATGCCCTGCGCACATGCAGGACGGTGTCGTCAGGCCATGTCAGACGGACACTATACAGCCTGCCAGACGCGTCAGAGCACAAACAGTATTGTGGGCGCCGTCGTTTGCCGTCCTAGGCGAACACTATGTAGCCTGCCAGGTATAGCAGGTCATGAACAATAAGGTGGGCGATGGCGGCGTAAACAATATGGCGGGCGATGGCATGCCGTACCCGACAACGTGGATGACAAAACTAGGTAGCACCCGTACACACTCTATCCCTTTCCATCTTTGACTTGTAAGGCCATCCATTTCATCTTTAAAAGAGGATGTGCTCTCTCCTAAAATGGCACAGTCTACACGCTCTCAACAGCGGATAAGCTTGGACATATAGAGCATACGCTCCAATACTTAGCGCACGTTTGAGCATCCGTCACTCTCTTCCACTCGGATCAGAGTCCGACCGGGCCTCTAACACCCCCTTCTCATTCATTACTCGTTTGTAACCCCACAGCAAACTTCGAGTACCTAGGCTCAGGAATAAAGTCACCGACCGACTGAAACTAGATGTAGGGCACGTTGCCTGAACCAGTATAAATCCTATGTCATCGTCGTGGTAGGCCACATCCGATCACAGCACACGATAAAACTACAAATATTTACTTGTCGGCCACATTTCGCATCGACACAAGGTTAACCTAACCCCTCAAGTTCACTCATTCTTGGTTGCATCACTATAAGAACTTGAGACCTAGTACATGATATGTGTGAGAGGACTTCCAAACTTCACGGATGATGAATGAATTTTATAGCTAGCTGTCGCCCTAAGGAGGTGGCATCATCCATAGCAGAAAACATCCCCGTAGTCCAGCTTCAATATGTTACATTATCCGTTCGCGTGCCCTTAAACCCGGCTTGATCCGCTTCTTTTTTCATCCGGAACTATGTTTTCCTCTCACAAATTCCTCCAGCATTCCTCCAAACCATCCAAATTCCTCCATAATTCCTCCAAATGAACAGACCCTTTGTAGGCCCCGTTCGCTTCGCTGAAAAAACAAGCCGAAACACTGTTCCCGCTGATTTGTTGTGAGAAAAAAACACTGTTCCGGCTGAAAAAACAAGCTAAAAAATACGGATTATAAGATAAGCGAACAGAGTCGTGGTGTCGATTTCTTGATCAAGATATTTCTCGAGAAGCATTCTCAATCGTCGATAGCACATAGTCGTGCAGTATCTTCACAAGCACAGTAGTATAGGGTTTGAACAGTGGTGTGGCTTATGAGTCAAGATTGAGAAATGGAAATATCAAAGGAAAGAAGCAGAAGAGGCCCGCGGGTAAGACAACGTGACATCAGCTTGGTGGCCAAAAGGGTCCCCTAGGGCCCACGGGCTTCATTCCCCCGACCCACGCGCGAAGGAAAGGGGAGCCTCCTCCCTCCTTTTTTAGACACCCTCCTCCACCTTTGTCAATCCCTTTTAATCTGCTTCTCTCTCTTCACCCTCTCCAGTCTCCAATACAGGCTCACGCGCTCCCTCTCCGCTCTCACTCTCCCTTTCTCTTCATGATCTCAAACTAGCTAGCCTGAAGAAAGTACTCCCTGTGTGTAGAGTATTTGATCTCTTGAGGTCAGTTGGAGACATTACTATTTACGTCCCATGAAAATCAATTTTGTGCATAGGTAGAAGGATCGATCTATGTTTTTGATCTGTTCCTGCATGTTTTTTTTCCTTTTTGATGAAAGCACTGTTGTTCTTGCAATTTTTTGGGGCTGTATGTGCATCTTGTTTTGTGTTATCAGAGATTTGGAGTGATCTCTCTTCTTTCCCCCGGCCCTTTCCCTGGGTAAGGAGATGCATATATAGGAGATTATCGATTACTGGGTCCACGTCCGCGAGACTTTTTTGAGTTTTATTAGTTCTTTATAGACGATTGATTGGAGATTTGGAGCACTGTATTCGTCTCGTATAACCGTATATTGGACGCTCTAATCTTAATTTAGTTAAATGCATTAGAGGTCCATTAATTTGTGAGCAGGTTTCAGTTAGGTCCATCAACTTTTAAAAACACTTTTTGGGTCCATAAACTTTGTATGGCGTATCAGTTAGGTCCATATCCTTCCACGTGAGCTTCTCTTGCTGACATGGTCAACTGAAGCAGCTCTTGACCCTTCATTTTGTCAAACATGTTGTGGGCGCGCGAGCAGGGGCCATCGCCACCGCTGCGGATGCACGAGTGAGCCGCCACCGTGGCCACACGGGCGCGCGAGCAGACCCACGCGGTGTCCGAGTTCTCAGTGAGCCTACAGAACACCTACGCCGGCCTCTCCTTGGCCACCTCGCTGCTGGCGCCCGCGTCAAGGACACGTTCCACGAGCGCAATGACATCGACGACGACCAGGTTTCCCTTGTGCGCATCAGACCCGACAATCACCGAGACCGCCTCCAGGGCCACCTCCTGGACGCGGACGTCCGGGCACTCGACCAGCGCGACATCGGACGCCGACACCGTCCGCGACATCGGATGCCACGACACGGACACATTTCTCATCGTCGTGTAGCACCTCGGTGAGCGCGGCTACGGCCTCCCTCCACATCTCGTAACCACCGACCCTGAGCCTTGTGAAGAGGTCGTCGCGGCTGGCCCCGGCGCCGGGGCACGGAACCACCCGCGCCCAGGCCCGCGTCAACGCGCCCGATGCGTAAACCTCGTCCAACCGCGCCACGTGCACATCTAGGGCCGCAGCCAGGACGTCGAGATCACTGCGTAGCCGCAGCTTGCCGCCGCCCCTGGCTCTGCGGCACCAGCTCCCGTTCCTCCCGGGCAGCCGCCGCGACGTCCTGCAGGAGGGTCGCGAGCGCGTCGCACCGGAACTTGCCATTCTCGTCGCCCGCGGGGACGGTGATGTCGGCGAGGCCGGCATGGGCCTGCTCGCGCGCCCTCGTGGCCGGGGCGGCGGCTCTCTCGTGCGTCGGCAGCGACGCCCCCGCTCGCGCGCCCACGACATGTTTGATGAAACGAAGGGTCAAGAGCTGCTTCTATTAGACAAGTCAGTAGGCCATGTCAACATAAGAAGCCCACGTGGAGGGATATGGACCTAAGTGATACGCCATATAAAGTTTATGGATCCAAAAAACCACTTTAAAAGTTGATGGACCTAACTGAAACCTGCCCACTAGTTAATGGACCTCTGATTCATTTAACTCATCTCAATTTCTTTTCGTTCTCTTGTTGATCACGTACTGGCCGGTCGGGTGCTTGCACACACACGAGAAGGCTAGGCTATTTCAATACCTATTACTCTATTTTTCTGCTCCTATCTGCAAAATCCATTCTCTTATTATAAATAGATATAATTTCGTTTTTAGAAGTTGCGGTGCATTCTGGAGTTATCTTGCACATTAGATATCATGAATGAAACAACTCTGGCTTTCCTTTCCTTTCCTAATTTCCTTTCTATCTCTTCCTTTCCATTCATAATTAATACATTTTCTTCCATAATGGACATGGGCAGTGAAACTCTAAGGGCATCTCCAATGTTTGTTCCATCTTCCATGACCAAGAACTGTCAAATTGATGGAAGAATGAAGGAGCATTTCTAGAGCTAGCTGCTGCCAAGGCGCACAGGTACTGGACTTGCATTCCCGAATTAAGGAACCTCATTTTAGATGGACAGATGATGCAACACTGAGACAAATAATCGCCACACACTGCCAATGCTCAGTGTATGACAATAATATTGTTGCCAACGATGTTAGCCAAACAACTTCTTCCCACTACTCGTACTTCCTAGATCCATGCATGGCCACTACGTCAATTACATCGTCTATTCTCCATGCTTGTGACTTTAAGGCCTTGTTGGATAAACTCATTCCCCACGTGGATTGGAATGCAGTGGTGAATTGAGAGGGGGCTTGATGGGAAAATTAGTTTATGTTCCTCTTCAATCCCGTCGTATTGGGAGGTAATCAATTTATCTAAACAACGCCTAAATCTGTAACGTGTTATCCTAAGTGGTTGTGAGAGGTGTATATAGGTCAAGGAATGTGAGAGAAATTTGGTATTGGGGGATAAGCGACATGTTTGCTCTAATAAGGATTGGAGGAGGGAGACGACAAGAACTAGAAGGAGTCTCACGAAGATGTTTGAAATTGATTGGGTGGTGGTGGTGATGGGATTGGGGGGTTATTGCGCGTTAGAGTAACTTCAAGAGCCTCTTTATATTCTTCCTATTCACATGATAAAGATTTTGGTGAAAAGGGAATATTCACTACTGGAAACCCATCCTTTGCCGAGGGCTTCTGGGTTTGCCGATGGCTAGATCTCGGGCACTCGGCAAAGACTCTATTTGCCGAGGGCCAGCCCCAGGAGCCCTCGGCAAAGATAGGCCCTCGGCAAAGACGCCTTTGCCGAGTGGCCCTCGGCAAAATAAATCTTTGCCGAGGGCCTAGCCCTCGGCAAATTGGCCCTCGGCAAATATGGCCGGATGGGTCACGGCGGCCACTGGCGTCAGTCTTTGCCGAGTGCCCGCCGTCAGGCACTCGGCAAAGATTTTTTATTTTTTATTTTTTAAATTTTAAATTTTCTTTGCCGAGGGCCATTGGCCAAGCCCTCGGCAAAGATCGCCGAGGGCTAGGCTAGGTCCTCAGCAAAGATTTTTTATTTTTTTTAAAATTTTCTTTGCCGAGGGCCATTGATCAGGCCCTCGACAAAAATCCCCTTTGCCGAGGGTCAGGCTAGGCCCTCGGCAAAGATTTTGTTTTGTTTTTTGAACCCAGTTTTTTTGTGGTGCTATAATACATTATTTAAAACTCAATTTTAAAATTTGGGCCAATTTTGACTTTTTTTTATATATTTCCCTAATTTATTTCTTTTCGTTGATTTTTTTTGAATATTTCAAATTTGAACTGCAGGTGGATGGAATAATGCAATTTAGTGATTCGAAAAATATTATTCACGGTATTTGGTGTATGTTGAGTCTCTATCCACGAACTCGCATCAAATTTCGGGCATCTTCTTCACGTAACATGTCGAGGTATTTGCCGGAAATGTGATTTTAAATTATATAAAATGCAAACGAAGTCCGAAAATCACGAAACTTGTCGAAGCGTCATGTTATCGCATGTGTAGGCTGTGGTAAAAAATTGAGAAGGTTTCGAGCAAGTTGTGACATCGGATGCCTCGACAAGTTTCGTGATTTTCGGACTTCGTTTGCATTTTATATAATTTAAAATCACATTTCCGGCAAGTACCTCGACATGTTACATCAACGAGATGCTCGAGATTTCATGTGAGTTCCTGGATACGGCCTAAACATACCCTAAATATCATGAGTATCAATTTTTGATGACCAAAGTCCATTATTACATGTACCTGCAGTTCAAATTTGAAATATCCTGAAAAATTCGACAAAACGAAATAAACTAATGAAATATATCAAAAAAGTCAAAATTACCCCAAATTTTAAAATAGAGTTTGAAATACTGTCACAAGGCGCCAGAAAAAAATTTGGGCCCAAAATGAAAAAAAAATTGCCGAGTGCCGGCCCAGGAGGCACTCGGCAAAGATGATTTTCAAAACAAAACCGGGCACTACAAGTCCACTTGCCCAACCCCCGTGCGGCCCAACCCCAAGCCAGCCGCCCGCTCCCTCGCGCCCACCCTAGCCGCCGCCGCGCCCGCCCTCGCCGCTACTGGCGCCTCGCGGATGAATCGCCGCGCCGCCCTGAGAACCCCGCCCGCGCGCGCGTCGCTGCGCCGCCCTGCCGCCCAAGAATCAAGACTAACCGCACCGTCGCTGTGCTGGCGCCCCCCCCATCGCCGGCCGCACCCCGCCCCGACAGCTCCCCGTGACCCGGCACCCCTCGCCTCGGCCGCCCAGAGGTGGCTGGCTGGTGCTGGCCGGCCATTTCCGGCAGCGGCGGCCGTGTCCCTCCGTCCGCGCTGTCGTCTTCCTCCCCCGCGCCATCTTCCTCCCCGGCGTACCTCCGTCCACACCGTCTTCTTGCTTCCCCGCGCCGTCTTCCTCCTGCTAGCTCGGCGTCCCTCCGTCCGTCTTCTTCCTCCTCCGCGCAGGGAGCCCGAACCCTAGCAGGTTTTGGATCCCCTTTTCTTGTTGCCTATATGATGCCTGTGATTAATTCTATAGCTGCCTATAATGCCTCAATTATTTTTTAATGTGCAATCTGCTAGTTTCTATAACTTGGGTGTGATTGCACTATTGGGCGGACTAATTTGTTGCTCGATGATACAAAGCGGTGTAGTGAGACAACGTGACAGCCGGATTCTAGAGTGTTGATTATTTTCAGCACTGTTTAATTATTTGCCTAGCAATTTATCTATTAATTTGAATTGCTTATTAGTTGATGAGTTGGTTAATACTATGAGCATATAACCTGTTTTGTACTAATCTTCAGTAACTTATTTTCCTGGTTATATTGCTATTTTTCTAGGCACTTAATTTTTGATCTAGAACCTGTTATTTTGGTAAGAAGGGTTGTCACATTAGTCAAGGATCAGTGATCACCAACAAGCGTTGAAAGGCTGCTTGGTGCAGCAACCCGCTATTTTGAGAGCAATTATTTACAAACAAACATGTTTATGCATTTAATCTGCCTACTGCTATAACTACTGATATCTATTATTACTACTATTATTACTACTGCTGCTACTTCATGTACTACTCCTACTGCTATTAGCTCCTATTTCTACTACTCTATCTAGTCTCTACTACTACTACTAATGGTGTTGGCTGGCTGTTGCTCTCTACTACCCTACTGCTATTTCCTACTATTTATATTGCTATCTACTACTCACTGAATTCCTACTACTACTGCATACTGATATCTACTATTACTACTCCTGTTGGTTGGTGATGTAGATGACGAACCCTAGCTAATGTTATGCAATTTTTGGAATTTTGGATTTCCATTGCTAAGCTCAGTTAGCTTCCATTGCTGCCTGTGATGCCAATATTTGGAATGCTTAGCATATGCCATTGCCTATGATGCTAATTTGTTCTGAGCAAATGCCAATGCCAATGCCTATGATGCCAATTTTTTCTGAGCAAATGCCAAATTTTAAGTTGCTTACTACTACTACTTGCTTCTCTATCTACTAACTGAATTTGTGGCATCTGCAATGATGAATTTGTTCAAACTTCTAAACCAATTGTACTGAGGCAATGGCATATGCAATGATGTGAAACTTTGTATGCTAAGGCAGCGACAATGATGATGAAATGTCCCCATACTTGTGAGCCGCTAAACTAGGATGGCTTGCATACCATATACAAGCAACCAATTTAGAGGCTATGTGATTACAATGGGGCAAATATGAGCCAAATATGTACTACTACTCCCCTGCTACTATTCTACTACCCTACTACTACTGCATACTGATATCTACTATTACTACTCCTAGTGTACTACTACTATCTACTACTACTACTAATCTATCCTCAGGATGCATGCCATATACGAACAAGGTCACTAATCTATCCTCGATCAACGAGACGAACCCCTCATCTTGGGCTAGTCGAGATTCGTGAAGATTCCATTTATCCTGAAAAAGATTACATGTAATACTATGTTTTTTTTAATTTGTGTTTTGTTTATATATTTTGAATCTATTTCTAATATATGTACTAATTAGTCTTGTTCATTCTTTGTGATTGCAGGTGATTGAACAAAGATAGCGAGCAGACGTCCACTCCTTGACACGCCCTCGGTTTACGGGAGAGACCGCCCTCTCCTTCGAGGTGAGGGGTCATCGTCCGGGGCAGCGTCCGCGGGTTCCAATCATCACGGTAGTGCGTCACCGGGTGATCCCACCTTTCCTTCACCACCGTCTCATAGGCTACCTTGATGAGGACTAGTGCTAG